TAAATCTGAAGTGTCTAGTTGTTTGAAGCATTTTTTTGCCATGATTCAGACTCAATTCCATAAAACCATTAAAATTGTCCGTTCTGATAATGGCACAGAATTTGTTAATCAGGACCTACGTTCTTATTACACAAATTTGGGCGTTCTTGTTCAAACCTCTTGTGTCGGTACTCCTCAACAAAACGGTCGGGTGGAACGTAAACATAGACATATTCTCAACGTTGCCCGATCGCTTATGTTTCAAGCCCAGTTACCTATTGAATTTTGGGGGGAATGTGTCCATACTGCTGTGTACTTAATTAATCGTACTCCCAACAAACTCCTTGGTGGCAAGTCACCGTTTGAAGTCCTCAATAATAAAGCTCCTGATCTTAGTCATCTCCGAATTTTTGGATGTCTATGTTTTGTTCGTCTTAAAACTGTTAACAAGTTTCATCCCCGCAGCACCAAGTGTATGTTTGTTGGGTATCCCTCTGGAACCAAAGGCTGGCGTGTGTATGATCTTGATAACCACCGTTTCTTTCAAACTCGGGATATCGCCTTTGACGAGGGCAATTTCCAGTTTGCCACCACTCGCACGCCAGCTGAACCATTTCACCCCACTCCATACGCCGATTTCCCCGAAATAGCTCAGCCCCCCACCCCCCTGGTCACTGCCGACGCCTGCCGGCGTCTGTTCCAGCCGGTCAGCCCGGCAGGTCTCTTCCAGGGGACGCACAGCCCACTGCCGACCCACGCCCCTCCGATACAGCCGCTGTTCCCTCTCTTCGTCCACAACGGCAGCGTCGTCAGCCCTCTTACCTTAGTGATTATATCGTCAACTCTGTTCAATTTCATGCTCCGGTGTGTCCGTCGCCTTCCCGGTCCTCGTCTTCAGGTACACGTAATCCTATTGCCAACTTTGTTTGTTATCATAAATTGCATGACAGGTACCGTGGTTTTCTTGGCGCCATCAGTCCACACTTTGTTCCTAAAAATTATGCTGAGGCCGTTCCCCATGCGAACTGGCGGGCAGCTATGCAAACGGAGCTCATGGCATTGCAGAATAATCAGACTTGGGACATTACTACATTACCACCTGATCGGACAGCTTTGGGGTGTCATTGGGTCTTTAAGACAAAATTTAATTCTGATGGCACTAAAGAACGGGACAAAGCCCGTCTGGTTGTTCTTGGCAATCATCAGACCTTGAGAGTTGATTACACAGATACTTTTGCCCCAGTGGCAAAAATGGGCTCGGTTCGGGTTTTGCTCTCTGTTGCCGCGGCCCGAGGGTGGCAAGTGCATCAGCTTGATGTGAACAACGCCTTCCTCCATGGTGATTTGATAGAGGAGGTTTATATGCGTTTGCCACCCGGTTATGCACATCTTTATCCAGGAAAGGTTTTCCGTCTGCGCAAATCTCTATATGGACTGCGACAATCACCTCGCAATTGGTTTGGAAAACTCACTTGTGCCCTCAGGCGCTACGGCTTCCGTCAAGCCCATGCCGATCACACTCTTTTCATTCATCGTTCCGGGCCTGATATTTTGGTTGTTCTAGTCTATGTTGATGATATTTTGGTTGCAGGTAACAATTCAACTCTCTGTGCCTCTTTCGAAACGTATCTGCACCGGTGTTTTCATCTCAAAGATTTGGGGCCGTTATCATATTTTTTGGGTATTGAGTGTGCCCGATCGGCGAAGGGTATTGTCCTTTGCCAACGCAAGTATGCCCTCGACATCCTCGACGAAGCAGGCCTTTTGGGGTGTAAACCGGTGGCTACCCCGATTACGCCGAACCACGGGTTGGGACGGTCTGCCAGTGCCGAGCTGCATGACCCAGCCCAATACCGCCGGCTTGTTGGACGATTGATATACCTGACGATTACCAAACCGGATCTCTCTTACTCAGTGCATGTTTTGTCCCAGTTTATGCATGCCCCACGGCTCGATCCCATGGAAGCCGCGAGACGTGTCCTTCGGTATCTGAAGGGACACCCGGGACAGGGAATCCTTTTACGCAGTGACAGTTCTCTTCAGTTGTCTGCTTATTGTGATTCTGACTGGGCATCGTGTCCACTTACCCGGCGGTCCGTAAGTGGCTACTTTATTCTTCTCGGTGGTTCTCCGGTATCCTGGAAAACAAAGAAGCAAACCACCGTGTCCCGGGCCTCGGCGGAGGTAGAATATCGTGCCATGGCCAACGCTTGTGCAGAAGTTCGTTGGATCCGGGGTCTTCTTGGGGCGCTCGGCGTCACCCCGCCTACGACACCACGTTTGTTTTGTGACAACAAATCTACTTTATTTATTGCTGCTAATCCTGTTTTCCATGAGCGCATGAAACACATTGATATAGATTGTCATATTGTTCGTGAGTGCGTGCAGCGCGGCGAAATTGTCACTTCGTATGTTCCTACTCGTCTTCAGATTGCTGATATCTTCACCAAAGCTCTGAGCCGACCTCTGTTTGCGTTCTTATTATCCAAGTTGGGCATTTGTGATCTCCATGCTCCAACTTGAGGGGGAGTGTTAGAGTATATATATTTATATTTCTAATTATGTAATTGTATCTTAGTAAATATTCTTATTTCCTTGTATGTACTCGAGCCCAAAACTAAAGCCCAACAATCTTGTATTTATACTTCGTAAATATTCAATGGAAAGCAATTCAGTTTTCTCAAATTCTACATATATATATATATATATATATATATATATGTCTCCTTTTGCTCCACCCTTCGTACCTTTGCTGACAAACAGCTTTGCCACACTTTTCTCTCACAATGCAGTTGAGAACAAAAGATGTGATGATGAGGACCCATCCTGACTCATGATAAGAACCGGGTACTCCTTTTGAATGCAATGGAGGACATTATAGAGGATAGGGACGTGCCTATACTCTATACCCACTCAGATGGAGAAGATTTAGTTTTCATTGACACCAAGCTTAAGCCTCTAGAGATAGACTTCTCTAGATGTCTCAGACAACCTTTAAACCTGCGCAAGGAGCTTAAGGGCAGGAGAACATTCTCCCCTTCACACATTGTTACTAGGAGCAAAGCTAAAATTCTTGAAGCATGTAGGAAATTAACTCCTGTTGGATGGGTGGAGGAACAGGATTTGAATGAAACCCAAGAATCTTATGAAGAGGAAGTTATCAATTTCTTTAAGTTGTGCTGCCCAAACAAAAAAAAGGTGTGTACTAAGAAATCCAACAAACCTTTGACTAAAAGTCAAAAAAAGAAGGCCAAGAAAAGACTGAAGAAGAGTTTGGCAGCAGAACATGAAGATGATGATGATGATTTTGATGCCTAGATTTTGCTAATTTCAGGGATGGGTTATGTACTCATTGGGGTACAGTACTCAACCTTGATTTTTTAAGCATGGAGATAGGTAATTGAATTGGCAGCAGATTATGAAGAGGGGTACAGTACTAAATCAAAAGAGGAGAAAACTCTTTTCTCAGAGGGAGTTTCTTTTCATTTCTTAGCTCATTTGGCTAACAATTCTTTCACAATAGTTACATCCAGTCTCATTCACAGTTTAACAAGTCTTCTTCAAAATGCCGCTCTTACAAGGCCTGAGTATTACTGTTTAGTGTTTACATCTCCTATATAATCACTGAGCTAGGGTCACACTGGAACGCTGGCTGCTTCCACTGTATGGCCACTAACTCTTGCAGCAGGCTACAGGAAAAGTTTAGGAATATTTGAGTACCCCTTATCGTAGGCTGGATTTTTAATGGTTTGGAGCGCTGCATTTGTGAAGCTGAGTTTTTTTATCTTCTTCTGTTTATTGTTTTATGCTTGGCTCTTTTATTTTGTCTATTTGTTTTTGAGGTGTTTCACCTCCTTGTATTTTTCTTCCCAATTTTCCGCCTGCATTGTAGGGACTTGGGCCATCCCACCTTATTTCTTTTTTTCTTTAATAAATTTGTCCTATATATATATATATATATCATTGGAGCCAATGGACTAACCTGTGTGTGCCCACTGAAGAAGGAGGTTTGGGTCTAAGAAGCTTAGAAGATATTCAAGAAGCCTACTCTTTTAAACTATGGTGGAAAGTGCAGACAGATTCTACCAAATGGGCTAAGTATATGAGAGCCTAGTACCTTAGACAAAATGTTATCAAAGAAAGGATAATAAAGTCTCTTATTTGTTAAAGGATTTGTAGAATTGATTACACTGCATCTGACCATACAATTAAGATTGATGGCCATATAACCTGGAAGGATGTGGATTTCACCCTTAAAAAGGCTTAGGCCCCGTTTGGTACACAGAATTCAAACTATGGAATTGGAATTGGGGACTTCAATTTCAATTTTGGCGTTTGATAGCACAAAAATTATGTGGATTTAGAATTGACAGTGCAAAAAATAAACTGGAATTGGTGAATTCAATTCTATGGAATTGAATCTAATAAAATTTCAATTCCAATTCAATTCCAATTCAATTCCAATTCCATCAATTCCGTATACCAAACGGACCCTTACAACATTTGCAGATACAATAACCCCATTCAAATTAGGTTCACCTACTGCTGGAACAAGAGTCAAATCCCTAAAGTCAAGTTTTTCCGTTGGAGAGCCCTAAACACATACCTGCCTTTTCCTAATAGCCTTAGGAGAATGGGCTTCCATCTAGCTTCTCAGTGCCCGTTGTGTAAGAACAAAGGAAAAGACTATGGACCATGTTCTATTCCAATGTACCCAGAGCATTTGGTAATTTTTTGCAGAAGCAAAGGATGGTCCCCAGCGAAGAAGTTTACTCAACCTTAGCCAACACATTATTGAATGGAATCTAGCCTACAGAAAAAAGAACTTTAAAAGACGTTTGCGGAGTATTCTTCCACGCATTATCTCTTGGCAAATATGGAAGGAATATAACACATCTCTTTATGACAATGGAACTCCCAACCCTTTTAGAGTTAAAAAGGGAATTTTAGAGACTCTACATATTTTGAGCTAGAATAAGAGGAAGAAGAATTGGATGATAAGGGATGATAACCTAACGAACCTGGGCTTCAGATTCTTCTACATGTCAGGTAAGGATTAAATTCAGGAAGACCCTTCTTCATTTAATAAGTTTGGGGAGATGTAGCGGCGGGTATTCAGCAGGTCCCTTTGGAGAATTGATTTGAGATTTTCTCATTCTGAAAGAAGAGTCTGTTCGCCTCTCTTCTTGGCCGGCGACAGGGTGGCCTGAAGTCTCTTCCTTCTCTGTTCGTTATTTCCTTGTCTCTCCTGTAGTTGACTTTTATTTTTGTTCATTCTTCTCCTTACGGGCTTTGGTCTATTCCTCCCCGTACTCATTGGTTTTGTTCTAATAAATTTGATAAGGACTCTCTAGACCTTACCCACTGATTTTGGTGGTCTTTTTCGGGCTATATATATATATATATAATGGTATAACACAAAAAATATCACAATTTTTGTTTTTTTCCAAAATAGATACGGAGTATAAAAAATATCCATATTCGAATATTCTAAAAAAATGGGCAATGACTTAAATACCAAAAAATCCAGACCGTTCTAACCTGGTCCACCCCAATTTGTGGCTCATAGTTAAAATGAAACTTATAGTCTTGACTATTGGCGTATATTGTAACATTTTTTCATGTTTCCTTATTATTTGGACTTTTTAAAAACATTCTATATAAATGTATAATTTTTTTCATTACTTTGCATGTCAAAGTGAATTGCCCCCCCTTCCCCCTCATGTATTTTATACTTTTAAATCAAATTTTGGGTAATGATAATGTAGGACAACCCAAACATGTTTTATTTTATCACGATCTTGAATATTAAGAGACAAAGAGTGATAAGCTTGTGGCCCAAACGGAACAAAACGCGGGACGGTATAAAACCGAAACCGCTGGCGTGTGCCCACCCCTACTCAATATGCATGCCACATATGATTTATCTCAACATTAAAAAGGACATTTTGGATTATTTTTGGATTTTAACATTTTAGATCTGGAGCATATGATATGGGTTGTTAAATGTTGTGTTTTAATTATCCAAAGCCTGGGCCATTTTACCTAGGCCCGTCTGGTTGCGACCACACTGAGAAAGAGAGAGACCCATAGACAGTCTCCGACTTCTTTTTCTTCTTGGGGCTCCGTGTTCGACGGGTGTCAGTGACAGAGTTGCAAACGGCAGAGGCAAAGCAGGATGGAGAACAGCGACGGTCTGGAGGTGATGCCACCAGCAACCTGGCGACGCTGGGAAGCAAACCACCGTCAATTCAGCGCCAATAAGTCCAAGGGTACCCAGTGTCCAAAGGTACTTTTAGTGTTTACTTTCAATTCCATCGTTGAAGTCCACCTTAATTACTTCGTTTATGCTTGATTTTTTCTGCATTTTTCATTATTTTCAGTGCTTGTGTTTAGATTTTAGCATCTGTGTGTATGTTCTACAGATTTCACAGATTTGAGATTGAATGTTTGATTACAAACATGTTGAATTCCATACATTTTATGTCTATTTGATCAGGTGGTTCTGTATATGATCCGAGCACGTTTGAATGATTGAGTTGGTTTTTAAACTATAGATTTGTAGTTTAATGTTGATTGAATGCTTCAAAAGGTTTTTGGAATTGTTGGTTTATTCTTAAAGTAACATTGTCAAATGAGCATACCTTGTCCACTTGTTTTTGTGGCCTATCTATCTTATTACAACCTTTCAAAATGTTTTGATTGTTAGCAAGCTGGTTGGTTTCTAACTGAGATCTAGGTGACTACTAATGACTTATGACTGCCTAGATTGTTGTTTGGGATAGTAAGGCACAATGGGTGTTGGGTTAAGTGGGCTACATTATTCTTAATAGGTAGGGGTAGGTGGAACTCGCTCGTGGGTGTTAATCTACCTACAACCCGGTCTTTGAAGTTTTTTTTATAATTCTAGGTTAATGACAAAGCATTCATGAATTTGAATATGCCTGATTGTGTGTTGATTTTTAAATTATTACTCTATTTACCAAAGTTAGTTTCAGTCTTATATAAAGTGTATGTTCATAGGGCGTTTGTTATGTGATGTTTGCTTATTCTTATTTCTTAGTTCATGCTATGTGTTTTGTTCTGTTGTATGTCGAGTGTGGTGAGTCTTTTACTATTAGCTACTCCCTCCGTTCTTGAAAAAAGTTCCACTTTTGACCAAGTGGTAAAATAAGAAAGTGTTAAATTGTAGTTGACTTCCAATTTTGCCCTTGATGTGATGAATAGATTATTAGAGAAAAAGTATGAAATGATGATAGGTAGGGTAAGAAAAAGTAAGGGTAAAAGAGGTTTTTAATAGAAAGTGTAAGTGTTTTGTTGGAAGTAGAAAAAATGAAAAAGAAAGTATTTTTGAAAACGGAGGGAGTAGTTGTTTGTTTTCATTGTTCAATTCACTTCTCCTAGTTGTAATATGCTTTTTTCTAATTCTAACACTATGACTACATAATGTTATTGATTGACTTTCCGTAGTGAACACAACTAATCTTTACAATTTCCTCGTGGGATCAACGCTGATATATATGCCCTAGACTACTATTTCTTTCTAGTTTCGTATATATAAAGGGTTTAGTGTAGGTAAAATATAAATGGACCAATTTCTTAAGCCTTGCAACAAGGCCTTAACAATGTCAGACATCTGCCGGAGAGACGCATGTAGCGCAACCTCCATATCCTCATGATATGGAAGATATTGCCATGATCCCTAGACTAATGTTTGTTTATTATACCCTCATTGTTTAAATTTAGTTTTTGTCTTAGAGAGCAGAGAACAAAATAGGGGCAATTAAAGAAGTACAAATAAATTAAAATTAAGGAACTCTATCACATACCAATTGAGCGGCACCACTCCAGTTGTTACCGTTATTAGCTCTTTCCCCTGCACAAATAACATCCACCGTTGATGCCTTTGAGATCATGCATGGGAACATTTCTTTCCATTGATTCTGCAACGCAATTAATTATAGTTTTATAAAATTATAAGTTTGATCCACCCTTGCAAGAAGCCATTCCATTACTTAATTCATGATGATATGAGTGCATACTCCCTAGATCACTCAGAAAATGAAGCTTTATTACAAAATGATTTCACAAGATTAAATGAGGTGTTGAGAATTTAAGAATGTCATATTCTTTTTTAAATGAGAGAATGTAAACTTTATTTTTATGAAGTGCCAATGTATTACTATGCAATTAATGCTTGTATTTAATGTAATTAACACAACAGGTTAAGCAACTAATTGCATACTGCATCCATGAAAGAATGAAGCAGGCGAGGAAGCTCCATGAACACTATCCCAGCATCTCTTGACGCCTCGATTACTCTCTTCGGCAGAGGAGCCGTGGTGGGACCACATTCCTCTATCAATGGAAAGGCTTTCACATATTCATCATAATTGAGAATCTCCTGACGCCCCGACTCCAAGCTTTGTATCCACAATGGTGCCCCAGAAGTGGCCATCGTCTTCAGCTCTTGCACTGCCCTGTCAAGGAAGTCCATCATCGTCCTTGATTTTTCTAGCCCGAAAATGCCAGTGTAGGAGCCCCTGGTAATGCTCTCTTGCTCATTCCCAATCCCCCCTGAACATGATGAAGAATTATTAGGCGATGTTCCTCTTGTTGTTGCAGCTACTGCTGGTGCTGGGTATTTTCCCATTGCTGTTCGCATCTCCTCAACCTGATCCATGAGTAGTATCCATTCAGTTAGCTTAGTAGGCTATCGAATCGAATAACATCATAGGGCAGCAAAAGTTACCTTCGTCCTTGTATATACTGGGAAAAGATTGAGGAACCTACTGAAATAGAAGTAAAACATAGTTCCTATCTTTGAAATAATTAAGAATAATACTGTAAGTTTTATCCTCAAAATAAAACTATTACATTATAACACTGCCGTACTGTGTATTATATTTCATACGGAGTACTTTTTAATTTAGTATTATAAGCTATTATTATTATTATTATTAATTACTCCGTATAATTATTGGCATTATAGTTTCTATTTTGGAATAAAAACATTAATGTCGTATTTTAATTTTTTCCCCAAATTCTTTGGACACCGTATATTTAGTTTCTTTTTTTTTTTTACAAATGAGACGACCAATGTAACGTTTTCAAACCTCAGATCGGAGTCTTGCGTTTTCAATTCGAAGTTGTTGTTCTCCGGTGGCCGCCAGTAACACTTTGCCTGAACTGCTACAAAACCCACAATTACGACAACAATTATTCTTAATCGCCTCCCGTAATTCCTTGTTTTGCTCACGAAGTTTCTCTATTTCGGATTTTAGTAATGAATTCTCATGGCGTTCCTGTATAGCCTGCAACAATACAACAGGTGCAGTTAAATATCAATGCTTTCCCTTCTAAGAAAAAAATAATGCTTTCCATTCTTTAACGAAGTAATGTTTCTTCTATCTCAAAATCTCTTTACCATTTTGACTATGTTATGGTATTACTTTCTTCCTCACATGTCAAAAGATATTTTGTTTTAATGTACAAAACGTCACACTTTTGAAAGAACTTAAAACTAGACAAATATTCAGAGAAGGAGGTTGTAGTATGATTCTTTTGTATATATTTATCATATGTAAAGAAGGTTTTTAGTTGTTGGAAGAAATTTGAAAGAGTTGGAAGAAATTGAAAATGATTAGAAGAAATCGAAAGAATTTGGATGAAACTAGGGGTGCATTATTCAACATAGATTTTTAAAAATTATGTTAGATTTTTTAAAATTTATGGATTATATAAGATTTATGGATTGTTTTAATTCCATGTAGGCTTCAATAGATTTCCATCTATTATATTGTAAAAATTTATCAAAATTCTAATGAATTGTTCTCAGCCCAAATAATAAAGGAGAGGAGCCACTACGGATGTATATGAATTGAAGGCCCTGGATTGAAGCTAGAAGTATACGAAGACAACATTCACGATCTAGATTGCTCTGCACAAGCAGCGATGTCGCCTCCCACTCCGAATGTTGCCGTCGCCGAGCCGGCTCCCAAGCCGCACCGCCTCCCCCCATCCTGCCACATATGATGGAGAGGAGACCCCTCACTCCGCTCCCCCCTGCCCCTGCCCAGCTTCTCCCTGTCATGCCCCTGCAGTGGTCCATCACGATGCCGGAGCTTTCAAAAAGGATGAAGAAAGTAAAGAGCATCCAAATTGGAGTGGAGAAGGAGAAGGAGGAGGAGGAAGAACACCACCAGATTCGAAACGGCCGATTGAAGCTGAGGAACCGGTCGTGGTTGATGTTGTGCCTCATTGAAGAAGAAGATGGGGAGGCGTGGAAGACCGATCAAAGAAAATAGAATTCGCAAAATCCAAGGTCTTTTGATCGGATTCGGAACGGGATTTATATTTATATGCATGGCATAAAAATCCACCACAATCCACATAATTATTTAAAAATCTTTCAAAATCTATCAATTTTTTAATACCATCATATTTAGAAGAATGTTTTAAAATTTAAATTGAATACAATTAGATTTTAAATGAATTTTTAAAATCTAAATTGAATACCTACATATTTTCAGAATCCAAAAAAATCCATGAGTTCTGATTGAATACACCCCCTAAAATTAGTTGGAAAAAATTGACAATGAACTTTTCTAACTCAAGTGGACACCCTAAGTGAAGCTAGAAAAATTAAATCTATCACGAAATAAAGAGAGCCTAAAATAAAAGCTCACCATATGAGAGCATACCACATTGGAAGGAATACTAGATTCGTTTGCGCACTAAAACGTACTCCCTCCGTCCCTAAATAAACTTTTCTTTTTTGACTTTTTGAAGATTTAAGGGAGTGATATTTTTGTGTTAATTTTCCAAAATACCCTTGAAATGATGTGTAAAAATAAGATGTGATTTATAGATTATTAGTAAAAAAGTATGATGTGATAGGTATGGTATGAAAAAGTAAGGGGTAAAAGAGGTTCTTAGGCTCCGTTCCGTTCAACTTATTTTTTCTGATCTGATCTGAGTTTAATAAGTTCTGATCTGATCTGAGTTTAATAAGTTCTGATCTGATCTGAATAGATCTGATTTGATCTAATTGGATCTGATCTGATTAGATCTGATCTAGTCTGATCTGATTGGATCTGATCTGATCTGGTCTGATCTGATTGGATCTAATCTGATCTGATCTGATCTGATTAATTATGATTTGATTTAAAATTCAAATCAATAATTTGATTTGACTTAATAATAACGTTTGCAAATTGTAATAATAATTCATATTATAATATAATCAATATTTTTTATTTAATGATTATTTTTTAATAAAATAAAATTAATTAATTCATATATTAGAATAATCATTCATATTATAATATAATAATATTTTTTATTTTATGATTATATTTTTGTAAAATTAGAATGTTAATTTAATATTTTCTCAAATTAACTTTCCATTTGACTTTTCAAATAAGATCGATCTTATTTTGCTCTAAGATCGGTCTTATTTGCTCTAAGGTGAAAAGTCAAAATTTGGCCAAGGCTCAGGTCGACCCCACAATTCCATGATGCCATCCCCTCAAGGCTCAGGTCGACCCCCACGAACAACCATTAGAACGACCGACACACCTAAGGCTTTTAAGTTGGCCAGACTTAGGCAAACTATAAATTAATTTTTAAATAATTTGATCGAATTACACATAATTTCAATAAAAAACAACTATTGTTGGAATTGGAGGAAGGGAGAATGGCATGGATACGTAACCTTGATTTGTGTTCGTCTATTTTGGAACCAGAACTTGACTTGCCTAGGATGAAGGCCTAGTTGTTTGCTAAGCTGCTGTCTTTGGGTTTCGTCCGGATGAGGAAACTCCTTGAATAACCTGCGCAGCCTCAATAACATTATAGCGCATAAAAGTAAATAGAAGTGACACGTTTTTATCCAGAAAATAAAATTATTTGAAGAGTAAATTCTATAATTAGTCTTTTATAGCAGGGGGTTTCTCTATTTAGTTCTCAATTATCAAATATTACCCTAGTAGTCCTTCTTTTATATGTATCTTTCCACAAATAGTCATTTTTTGATCTTCTATCATGTTGGTGTTAATTTGAGGGCTAAGAGTGCAATTTAACAATGATAATATATCATTTTTGTCATACACAATTCCAAAGACTGTTCCATTTGCGTTGTTTGTGAATTACAGCCGCTTTCTACTACAAACATAGTCTACAAATGTTGAAATCCTAGTCCACAATCGTAGTCATTATTTTTGTGTTATCCACTAAACCAATATCAGAACACGTCACTAGACATAATGTTGATGTCAAATTATATTTTAGCCTTCAAATTAACATTAACATGGCAGAAGATAAAAAAAGGACCATTTATAGAAAGATACCTATAAAAGAAGGATCACTAGGGTAATATTTGATAGTTGAGGACTAAATAGGGAAACCCCTCTGTTATAAAGGACCAATTATGGAATTTACTCTTATTTGAATGTGCCAATAATACATTGTATATTACGGAGTAATACTCTAATAATTTCAATGCTTGTTTTTTTGGTATTATAGATTTACATTATTGGTGTTATAAGTTTACATTATTGGTATTATAGATCATAATTTGATAAGTTAATAATCAATAGATTAAAAATGAGATTATATTGAAAATGGAGATATTTTTATAAACAAATGAAAAGTGAAAAGGGAAAGTAGAAAGTTTTTTTATACTCCCTCCGTTCCTTTAAACCCTTCCCATTTTGACTTTGGACCAAAATAAAAAAAGTGTAAAAATAGTGTTTTAATAGCAAGTGAAAGTGTTTTAGAGAATTGACAAAAATAAAAGGGAAACAATTTTATAGAATGAAACGAGTAAAAAAGATGAAATAATACTCTCTTTCTCGTTTATCTAGACTTATAAGTCAAACTAAACCAAATTTGATCATCAAGTAAATATATAAACACTCCGTGGTATATTAGATTTCCTCCATTCTAAATTCAATTGATGAAATACTAAACTATGAATAAAACATATAGAAAGAAGAAAAATATGTCCTTCCTATTTTTATCCCCAAAATATGACATGTAATGCAACCTATTATACCAAAAAATATTATGGAATGCAAATATAGAGTGTCACAATGTCATAATATAACATTTTTTTTTCAAAATAAAAATATGACATTCCTATTTTAGCGGTAAAGACTATGTTTTATTCTTATTTTGGGTGATTTGTTTAAACTAATTTATCAAATAAGTAAAAAAGTTAATGATATTTACAGAGAGACTAAATCGAAATAAATAATTTAAAATAGAGCAGATGAAGAACCATTGTGGGGAAAAATGATTTTTAAGGTGGGTGCAATTTGATAATTAGTCTCTTGTTTTTCATTTCTTTTCAAAGTGAAAATATAATGTAATTGAAAGATTGATAATAAATAGATATGACTTATTTTAATAAGGCTCCGTTCCGTTCAACTTATTTTTTCTGATCTGATCTGATTTTAATAAGTTCTGATCTGATCTGATTGGATCTGATCTGATCTGATTGGATCTAATCTAATCTGATCTGATCTGATTGGATCTGATTTGGTCTAATTTGATCTGATTAATTATGATTTAATTTAAAATTTCAAATCAATAATTTGATTTGACTTTATAATAACGTTTGAAAATTGTAATGATAATTAATATTATAATATAATCAATATTTTTTATTTAATGGTTATTTTTTAATAAAATAAAAATAGTTAATTCATATATTAGAATAATCATTCATATTATAATGTAATAATATTTTTTATTTTATGATTATTTTTTTTTGAAATTAGAATATTAATTTAATATTTTAATATTTACTTCATATATACATTAGAATAAATATTTAATTTAGATATACATTAAAAAGTAAATAAATTTAGATAATCAATATATAGAAGAGATAATATTTTTATTAAATATCTCATCCTTATAAAAGATCAAAACTTTAGAAACTCAAATTACAAGTAGCAATAAAAATATATTTTAAAAGTAGAATTAGATTGACATTGTCAATGTATTTTAAAACTAATTTTTCCGACGTCTAATAATTAAGGATTACTTTCTCAGTTTTCTATTTAACCTATTTCTAAAGTTTATTCTTTTTAATTTTTAAGAACAACAACAACAACAACAACAACAATAATAATAATAATAATAATAATAATAATAATAATAATAATTCTTGATGGGATATGATTTTAATAAGTCCTGATCTGATCTGATTGGATCTGATCTGATCTGATTTGATCTGATTGGATCTGATCTGATTTGATCTGATTCGATCTGATCTGATTTTAATAAGAATAAGAAAAAATAAGAAAAAAATAAGTTGAACGGAACGGGGCCTTAATATCAAATTGTTACGGTAAATAGGTGGTTTTAAATGGCAAATGAAGAGCTTTTGGAATACATAAACAAATTAATTTTGTTTGGGATAGAAAAAGTAATGTAAATAAATTCTATGATTAAAATACTTGTTTAAGTACTTGTTTAATATAAAAGTTATTTATTTAATTATTTATTATTTAAAATTGTCTTTTTGAAAATTTTGTTACCACCTTTTTTATTCTCCGTGTGAGTTCCGATCATTAAATTTCCTGAATTCACCATACGTTGATAAAGAAAGATGTTCAAGTTTAATACGTGAAAATTCACTCAACTTCGAGCTCCAACGAAGGCGGGGGCATTGGCTCCCGCATCTCAGTATATTCATTATTTGTTTGATAAAAGTAAAAAGATAATCTTATCCTATCTTGCTTTATAAAATTTTATAAATAGTTTTAAAATTATCATTTGTACATTTAGTTTTATTTCAGTTTCTAAATATTATTGTTTTAAAATAGATAAAACTTACTTCATCTGTCCTTATAAAACTAATTTCTCATTAAACTTTTCATGGTCTACAATTCAATACTTTCATCATAAATATCTCTATTTATATCAAAATATATGTATATCATAAAAATATTATATTTCAAAATTATGTTTCAAAGCTAATCTATTAATATTAAATTTATATGAAAATTTAATGTATATTTTACTATAATATACAATCAAGTTTAAAAAATTTCAGCATAAAAGTTAAAATCGAAAATTAATTAGAAGACGGGGAGAGAGTAAATTATTTGAGTGATATTTTTTGGTGGGGAAACTATTATTATTTCAATTCGATCTAAGGATAAGCCTGATTCTCCAGATTACATTGATCATATTCGAGAATCACTTAGAAAAAATAAATTAAATTTTAATAATAGATCAGTCACAAATTATATCCTAATACGGACTATTCGAAATCTAAAGCATGGACGGTCATGTACAAATAGTTCCATTACTGATATACGAGGAATCCATTATCCATCATATCAAATGATCATATACAGATTCTGTAGAGTGGAGTAATTAATGTTTGACAAAAATCTTAGATCGCATGACACTATCACTAATCACTATATATCACGCAACTATTTGTTGAGTTTAACCGGTTAAAATGGATTCTTTTGTACTTCCTACATTACGGCATCACCCAATACTCCGTAAGGTTTAAACAGGATTTGCACTTCATTTTATTAATAAAGCATATATAGATCGTGAACTCTCCTCGTTGATTTCAATCAACTTGTAACATACTTCATTTTATTACTCCGTAATAAATTTTTCGTTGAGTGTTACGATATTTGACTAAAATTATTTTCAAATCATTTTAGAAGAAATAAGGAATGTATATTTGTGATTGACTTTTCAATTTTTCTTTTGATCTAATGGATAAGAGTAAGATGTGATACATAGATTATCAATAAAGAAATATGATATGATACCTAGGGTAAGAAAAGGTAGAGTTAAAGTAAATTTTTAATAGAAAGTGGAAGTGTTTTGAGGAATACAAAAAAAAATGAAGGAGTACAAAACTAGAGCTGACATGACTATATTATTTTATCAAATAGGACGTGAAAACAAGCCAACAAAGTAAATAAAATTTGACTCTGTCAATAGTGAACAAGAATTTTATTGTTGACGGATGGAGTATTATTTAAGAAACATTTACCCTCTTCGTTTGGGAAAATACTTCCTAATTTGACCAAAGGCCAAAATAAAGAATGGTTAAATTGTGGTGGACTTTCAAATTTTACGCTTGATGTGATGGATAAATTATTTGTGAAAAAATATGATCTGATAGATAAGGTAAGAAAAAATAAGGGTAAAAGAGATTTTTTAATAGAAAAAGGAAGGGTTTAGTGGAAAAGAAAAAATGAATGAGAAAGCGCCTTGGTAATCAGAAGTAGTATATAATTAGATCACCAAATTTTTAGCCAAAAAATACGGAGTAATGCACTATATTAGGTCAAATAGCTCCTTATGTCTCGTGGTTTAAAAATATAGGTAGGACTGTTTTCAAAACTTATTTTTAAAATTATTACTACTATAATTTTAAAATGTTGCATCTGAACCTTGTCCTTCTAGTTTTTTCCATTTACTTTTTTGGCATAAGGAGGCATTATTGCCTATTTTCAAATCATAAGGGTATCCGTGCCAACAATCCTATTTTTCATTCATTGTTTAATTTCTTTTTTAATTATTCTTGCAATAATGTTTTAAAATTTCAAAATTGCTCGTATTTTAAATAAAAGTAAAAGAAATAAAAATAATTTATATATCAAATACTCCATGTATCTCAAGTTAAAAAATCATTGATTTGTTTTCTAAAATAAAAAGAAAATAAAAATAGAGAAAGGAAATAAAATAAAAGAGAAACTAATGGAAAAAGAAAAAGATACAAAAACACTATTATTAAAACAGGTAAAACATATTCACGAAGTGGGCTAATAAGGCTCTTTTTGCCTTTTTGGGGTCGTCCGAAAATTTAAAATGTTTTAGAAAAGAGGAGAGAAAAGAATAATAAGGGTATTTTTTAAATCCACGTCCAACAAGATACTCCGTTAGACGTCTTGAAAAGAACTTTATCAACGTCCAACAAAATACTCCGCTAAAGTTAAAAAGAATAACTTTTTTGAGAAATCTAAAAAATAATTTTTTTAGACGTCTTGAAATCTAAAAAACCACATGTCTATGTTTTCTTTTTCCTATAATATTTTTGTGTATCTTTTATACTTTTTCATTTCTTTTATTTTGTTTTCCCTCTCCTCATTTTTTTTAAATGTTTAAAGAAAGTTTTTATTTTTAGTTAAAATAACAAAAAAAATAATGCAAATGTTTTAGTCAATATAGATTATAGACGAAGTAAATTTTAGTTTTTCTATTTCATTTAATTTTCACAAACAATTTAGATATTTAAAAACATTGTAAAAAATAATTTTTAAAATTTAAAATAAACAAAAAATATGATATTGGGATCCTATGCTCAAGTGATTTGAAAATTAGATATTAATGTTCCTTTTGCCGGGAAATGAATGGAAATTAAAATAGTCGGAGGAAATATCTGCGCAACATTATTTTGAAACTATAGAAATTTGAAAAATAAGTTTTGAAACAAAGAATATGTATTGATACACTGTGTGTTTTTTAAATTATAGGGGCACTAGAACGTACTATTTCACCAACTATATATATTCATAGGGCGATAAAATCTTTTGAAAGTTAGGAGTCAATTTTGTATTGATGAGAAAAATGTGATTTTTATTTAAGTGAGGATTGGATTCGTCCATTTTGAAGGAAGAATAATTTGAGGAACACTTCAACTTGCCAGGCAATAAACGAAATCCCCCAAAAAGGGGGAAAAAAAATAATAACAAATGAAGTAATTAAGGGAAAAAAAGGAAACATACGCCTCCATTTCTTTGATCTGCTCAGCAGTGTGCCTGTGATATTTTTTCCTCTTTTTCTTGGTGCCGTGATCATCCTCTTCCTCGTTGTAATGATGATTATGTTCGTCGTCAAAATCATCATCCGAGCGGGATCTGGTCGGCCCTGAATTCTCGCTGCTTATCTCCACCGTGTCTTCCCTCATCATCCGGGGTACTCTTCCTCCGCCGCCACTCTCCGCCGCACTACCGCTTGCCTCCGCGGCCGCCCCATCTCGGAATATCCCGGCCTTATTAATTAATTAAAAAGTAACACGAAAACAAATAAGATTCCATATATATATATATATATATATATATATATATATATATATATATATATATATATATATATATATATATATATATATAGATAAGTGTAGTGGTTGTTTTAAGTTAATTATTAAGAACTACTCACGAGACTGAGGGAGAGCGCAGGAGAGGGGAAGAGGTCCTTGGTGCGAGAAATGTGCGGATTTTCTGACATTTCCTCCTTAGATTTTGAGGTCGAGATTTATGGCCGGTGACGATGAAGACATACATGTAATATGTACGTTCGTTCTAATTAAATTCGAGTTCTCTCACTTCTCTGGCATGGCTTCATCAGAAGAGAGAGAGAGAGAGAGAGAGAATGGGGCGGGGTACGTGGTGCAGTGTGTGTGGGATATGATGTGTGTACGTTGGTAGTAATGGAGGTGTGTACGTACGCTCTGATTTAAGGATATAAAACAACAAAATTGAAGGTAGGAGAGAGAGTGGGATGAATGATGGATATGGCATCAGAGGGGCGTGCAGTGGCCGTCGACGTGGGGGCTGGTAGGAGTTGACCGTTAGATGTGAGGAACAAGGGCTTTCGCTTTTGGACTCAACTAATTCTCACTCCCTATCTAAATTATGAACCAATATATCAGATTTCCCATTATATAATAGGTCAAATTTTATACCCCTAAAATTCTTATTAAATCACTATAAATATCAGAGAAATTATCAAAATAAAAATTTCAGGTTTTTATTCTTAAAATAAAAGTTTGAATTGTGATAATGTGGCACTACTGCATATAAACATTTCACAATATCTTTTGATATTATATTTTGGCATGACTTGCATTGAATATGCATTTGAACTCCTATTTTGAAAAATAAAAATATAAAATTTATGTATATTTTGATATATTTTCTATGTTTTACTCATACTTTAGTCTTTTTCCTTGAAGTCTCTTTTACTTTTTGTCCGTTCTAAAAAAGATTTTACTTTTTATTAAAAAGTCACTTTTATTCCTACTAGTTCTAACCTTATGATCTACACTTTGATCATTAATATTTTAATTTAGAGTGAAATTTTAAAAACCTTAACCAAAAAAATCAAAATGAATAAGTACGAAATATATGTTAGGATGGAGTACTTGATAGTCTAACTTACAAGATTTTTTTTGACAAAAAACAACTTCATTCAGACAAAATCAATTGAGCAATACAATCCGATGGCCAAAAATCCTAAGAGCTCAAGTTTGAAACAGCTAGCGCATCGAGCTTATGCATGTGCCACAACATTTAACTCTCTACGAACAAAGTAAAAAAGAAACTCGTGAAACACAACTACTCAATGAAAAACACTAATCAAGAATGGATTCAAGATGAAACAAACAAATAAAATTCCTTCCTTCTTTAACAAACCCGAACCAATGTCTCACAATCAGAAAAGTTTTCAACATCACGAATGCCTAGTTCCTTCAGCCATGTATGGTAAGAGCTTTGTTGCATGCAATGACCTCCGCTAGCAACAGTTTTTGGGGTCCTGCCTTACGCCCACTTGCCACTGCCATGAACACACTGTCTGGGGAGAGCAGCACATGCTGGAACACAGTACTTTATACGTCCATGTTGTACTAAAGTGGTGTTCGGTTTTTACAGGTTTTGATAAATGTCAAACCGCCATGGATATAAAAAGACGTTGAACAAACTCAAGGCGAAGATGGCAAAGTGATCAAGTGGAAACAAGAACCAAGAACGAAGACAAAGACTTAGAAATAGATGAGTCGGTCTAAATATGATCAAGACCGACATCCTTTAATATAATAAAGGAGACTCCGATGCACAGAAATTCGACATTTGGCATGTCTATGTGGCAAAATTTAAACATGTCAGCACGCCACGTAATATCCAAGTAAACCAGCGAAAATAAATTATATACGAGGCACCAGCAGATCTCCTGTTGGAAACAATTGACCGCAGATTTTCTACGCGATAATCACTGGCCTTCAACGAAATTCTTTCCTTCATATTACAACAATACGAACTCCTATTGTGATGATAATATAAAATAATTAAAAATAAATATGAAAAAGTATGAATACTATTTAAAAAACAAATATAATATTTTTCATTTAATTTAAATAGAATTTTAGGACCATGCTACATATATTAATCCTTTATCTTACTTCCATATTTAAAAATTACATACTTAAATAATAAGTTACAAAGGATTATTGTGGAAATTCGTGTATAATAAGAGTTAAAATCAATAGAGTACCTATATTAATGGAAATTAGAATATTATTTTTTTTACAAAAAAAATATATTAAGAAACAATCCTAAATAATACTAAATTTGAAAATGATGATCACGAGTATATTACTCATCACCTTACTTATATTATTTATGGTGGGTAATACTAATATTATTTTGGATCCGTTTACTTATATATGGAAATCCTTAATTATTAGTTTTGGATAATCAATAATATTATATGTTAATATATGTTTTCAGATTACAATAATACGAACTCCTATTACAAGGATAATATAAACAATTAAAAATAAATACGAAAAAATATAAATACTACTTAAAAAATAAAAAATAAAAATAAAAATTTTCATTTAACTTAAATAGAATTTTAGAACCATGCTACATATATTAATCCTTTATCCTACTTTCATATTTATAAATTTCATACTTAAATTAATAAGTAACAAAGATTTATTAATGGAAATTCGTGTATATATAGGTTGAAATAAATAGAGTACCTATACTAATAGAAATTCCAATACTATTTTTGATTCCTTACTTATTTGTCTTAATTCCATGAGTATATATTATTGATCACCTTACTTATATATGATCATTAANGCAAGAGAAATGAGAAAATGAATACTTCAACAAAAAAAGATAGAAAAGGTACGCACTTTAAAGATTGTTTTATCTTAATACATTTAATTTTGTTTTATTGTTTTAAGGTAATTTGATGCATAACATTTTTGAATTATTTAAAATAACAAAATGAAATGGGATATGTTAGTGACCAGAATTTTTGTATTTAAAATTTATATGGTTGCTTTTTAATGAGCATTGAAAAATTTTCTTATCTTCATATATAAATCATTAGTATAGATAAATTAATTTATGTGAAATAAAAAAAGTTTTATACAAAATTTAATATTAGATGTCAATTTAGAAGAATTTAACAAATTCTGCATGTGAAAATGAACACTCCAAGAAAAGATAAAATATATGTTTAGTCATGTTATTTTATAGTCATGTTATTTTATCAATTATAATTTGCATCCGTAAAAAAATTAAACGTTGTTCATAGGTTGCATAAAAATCATGGATAATTAAAATGTATAATTGTTGATTTATCTAGGCATGCATATAGCTCACTGATTATTTTTATCAATTTTATATTTACATCAATAGGAATAAAATGATGTCTAACCATGACTCTTTAATTTCATTTTTCTATATTTTTTATGGAAAAAAAAATAGTTTATACATTTTGAATATTTTAAACAATTGAATGGACGAATATTGACAAAGTTGAGTAAAAACATATTCGTATTTAAAATCTTTTAAATAAAACTCAAAACTTTGCAATAAATTTGATATGAAATGGGTGAATATAAAAAAAATGTGAGTACATATTTTAAAACAAAATGATATGCATGCGAGGAAAAAAAATAGGCATTGATACGGAATGATCAATGTAAATAATTCAAAGTTCAAATATAATTTTTAAATTGGAAAATTTACTTATATCTAACACGTAATTCATTTATCAAAATGGCAACTAAGCTGTGTTCAACTGAAATAATTGATACTCCATATATATATTCATAGTCAGAGGAGTTTACCTAAATAACACTAAAACATAATGACTTTCCCTAAATAGCAACATATGTTTTTTATTTCCCAATGTAGCACTTTTAGTCATTATCCATTAGTCATTAGGGAGAAATACGAAAATAGTACTTTAATAGCCTTATAATGCTCAAAATAGTAGTGCTATTAGTTTTTGGGATGAATTCTCGTTTTTGTCCTTAAAAAAACTCCCAAAATTAGAATTATACTGCAATGTATACTCTTCACTGCTACATTATAAATAAGTATGAAATTCTCTGCTCTTCACTGCCACAATATGTTTGAGATTGAATTTAGTGTCCTAACACATATACAACACTGCCAAAAAAAAGAGCAGAATTCATTTTAAGCCGTGACCTTTTATTTTTTATGGTAATTATACACTGCAATATATATACTCTCTACACTGCCACAATATATACTTCCAAAAATTCAATGTCTGAAATACACTGCCACAATATCTACACTGCCAAAAATTCAATATCTGAAATACACTGCCACAATATATACACTGTCACAATACATCTACACTGCCACAAAACACAATAATTAAAACTAAAAATACAGCGAAATCCGAATAAAAGGATGCAAGACAAAATTTTAACATTTAATCTTCACACTGCCCACACCATAACACCTAATCTTCACACTGCCAAAGTCACAATGCCTTTCAAAAGACCTAATTTTTCAAAAGGGACAAATACTTGGTATTTCAAAATTGATTTCACAACAAACACCTAATCTTCAATACGAAGAAAACACAATAATTAATACTAAAAATACAGGGAAATGCGAATAAAAGGATGAAGGAATGAAAATTAAAAATTGAAGGAGAAGAGAAAATGATTAGCGACATCAAAGATTAGCATGAGAGAGAACCTGATGATTGCCGCTGCTGATCGGCCAAGGAATCGTGGGCGAAGGACTGAGGATGCATCATCGCCGGCGAACGGAAGGAGAGACCGTGGAGTTCAATAGCGTGCGGGAGAACGGAAGGAGAGATTGGAATTGAATGCCGTAATTTTTAATGAAAAAACAAAGAAAAAGGGGTAAAGGGTATGATAGGAAAGGATTGACACCATAAATTTCTAAATTTGTTAAAAACAATGAGT